ATAAACTATGCAATGTGGAATAGGAGAACCCACTCCTCCCCTATCTACAAATGTTACTACTATTCCTATTACATCTGTGACCGCAGGATCTTCCTGGCCTACTTACGCTATATCACCGCCTCATCAAGTTATGGAACTTAACAGATTGTGATCGAAAATTACCACGAGAAAAATATCAGCCGTAATTTACAATAATTTCAAAGTGAATAGATGGCGTGGCGAACAGCAAGTTTTCCTCTTACTACACATTTACAACGGTCAACTTTAACAACATTAAGCAACCTTTCAACTGGAAACCGTAACAACTGCCTGATATTTGTGGCCGTCTAATCAGAATAAAGTTTAGGAGAAGAGTAAAGAGTGAAAACAAGACTTTAGCTGAATATATAGAAATACTTTCCAAATTATCTCATCCAGACGCTCCACGTGAAGTGACGGAGCTGATGACGTAATGGATTATGATATGTGAATTAAACTAAAATATAGCAGGTGTATATCCTGGGAAGCTGTTACGTTAGTAACGAAAACAGGATAAATCAACCTGGAATTGTCAGATCCAACTGTGTAGAGACACCAAGTTCAGAACAAGTAAAAAAAAAGGGATTAATTAGGCAACTGCTTATTCAGAATGGAAGCAGCAGACAATGAGACAGAAGGTGTTTCAGTTACATCTGTCACGGGAAAAGGAAGGTACTAAAAGTTTGGAAAATACGAATGCTGTGATGAATAAACCGTTGATTATAAACCAAGGAGACGATATTCTGAGGTGGTTGCACCATTTTGGTTGATGCTGGTTCTATGGTTACCATTCTTCAACCTGATTGGGTAATAAAAGGTGGAAAAATTGCTTTTATATATAAAGCAACTAGGTGGATTGATGCGATCAGGAAGTTGTTTTAAAGTTCCAACAAGAGGAAATTTGAAAGTTACTCTCAGTGTGGGAAGTTTCTCTAAATAGTATAATGTGTTGGTAATTGGCATTATGGAATAAAACATACTGGGAATGGACATCATGCATGGAGCAACATGTGAGGTTAAACTTACTTCAAGCGTTATTACCTGCTATGACCAGAAAGTCTCTATACGTTACACGCAAATTACAATACTAAAGGTTTAATTTCCAATGAAAACAAGTGCAAAATTTACAAGATAATACAGACAACCAATCTCAAGTGCGACAAAATGCAGAATCCTGAAAAACAGATGGTCCATACCAAAGGTCATCTACTGTGATCCTTTAGTACGTTGTCGTGAGAACGGCCAACTATTTAGTTTCAAAAAAGACTTCAATAGGGTTAAGTTACCCTGCTGAAACCGTGGTCTTCCCTAATGACAAGATACAAGTGATGAAAAAGGACATGAGATCATTCCACATTCATGAAATTTTAAAGGCACAAAAAGGAGCTTATTAGCTTCTCAAGGTTGTCCCTTCTAGCTCCCAACTATAACCATCCCCTGCTACTCACGTATTCATCCAATCTTTTCTTGAACTCAGTTAAATTTTCTGCCTCCAACACCCTTGAATGCAGCTCATTTTAAAAGTTACAATTTCGATTGTACTTTGTTTCATATATTTAATTAATGTTTTAATAATTGTAATGTTTAGATTCACGAATATTAATGTTGTTAATTGTAATGTTTAGATTTACGAATATTAATGTTGTTAACTGTAAAAAAGTTACTTAACTGTTAATTTTAGAAGTTTAACGTACCTTTGTTTTCTTTGTGTAATAGGATTGTTCCAGGAATTAACCAATACAGGGAGGAGACAGTGTTGTAGCCTACGTTTTTAATTTAAGTGTTTCTAGAAATTTGTATTATTGTTTAGCCTGAAGGAAGTTTAACGTAATGAGCATGGCTTTAATGTCTGAGAATTTTCTTTGAAGTTTAGTGAACAATTTAAGCTGTATATATATACATATATATATATATATATATATATATATGTATATATTGGTCAGTTTGTCCGTTACTGTCATTCAGTTAGTTCAGTGCTGTAAATATTGAGTTTGTTTTTCGTCGATGAAATTGACAAGTAAGCGAAATTTCTGTTTAGACGTAGTTAGGCTTATCGGTGATCGTGGACTCCACTAAACGTGAAGTTGAAGAAATAAAACGTTTTTTAATCAGTAAGTGGTCTGAACTTTGCATTGTTCTTTTTATGAAATAATCCAAAAGAAATTATTAAATCAATCCAACAATAGGAACCATTAAACAAATCTTTACAGATCTAGAGCATGAACATTAAAACTATTTTATCAACTTTTAATTTTAAAGAAACGTATATGACCAATATGATCTTTATGTTTTACACTTTTTTAATAAAAAGTATTAATATTTTTATGAAATTTATTGTAAAATAACTTTAATAATCTTCAAACGTAGCTTACATTAAGTACTGGTTAATTTGCTGCTTTAAAAAACATTATAAAATGTACAACATGCCATCTTTTTTATTAAGTCTAAGTAACTTTCTAATTTCGCCGATAAGGGTGTTTTATACCTGAATCTTGATTTTTAAAACCACATACATATATAACACTAAAGTTGAACTTTTGGGTCCTACAACCCAGTCTGATTGAAAGGCTCTAGTGTTGAAGTAAAATATTGTTAATTGTAGTAAACAAAAGACAAACGTGTAACGCGAATTTCCAGTTTAACAGTTATTTCGTTAACAAATCAAAAGAGGTTTTACGAACTTGTGAGATATAAATCTGGTCAAACACTTAGATGACTCGGTATCAAGTTACTAATAAAAAATATGTTTTATGGAACAGTATTTATGTTATTTAGCAGGTAAATTTAATGCAAGGAGAATAATTTAAGTGATATCGACCTTATAAAAGGAATCTGTTATTAAAACGTTTTCGAAAGTGGTCTTTCAAGTGTTCCTCAGGTGGGACAGCGGTAAGTCTACGGACTTACAACGCTAAAATCTGGGGTTCGATTCCCCGCGCTTTGCTCTAAAAAAAACTGACTAACATGTCTTTAAAGGACAGTTTTAAATTTCGTCACAGGTTTATTTGTTGAAAATTTGGGAAAAATGTGTTACTATCCAGTAACCAACGTTTTACATTGTGTAAATCAAACGAATGCTAATAATACTTACAGTTAACATTGTTTTAACATACATACTTTACAATAGCTTTATAACCACATTTAGAAAATACGGAAAATAGCTTTATTAACTAGATATAGAATACAGTGTTAACTAATATAATAGGCCTAATACTAATATCTAATGACAAATAATTTAATTATAAATCAAGGGTGTTAGTTTGTACAACTTAATGAATCTGGAGTAAGGTTGGAAACGACAAGAACTCCAGATAAAAAACAAACGTCATTCATCCAATGTTTCAGCTTACACCTTCATCAAAGTAAAATGTTTACAGTAACTCTCGCATTACAATCACTGATAAAAAAAACTGTTATTCCAATGAGAATATTTGAACAAATACAGTATTACATTTTTAGAAGCTATAGCTTTTAAAGCATGGGAAATATAGGTTTAAACAAGTATTTTGCGATCATTCTCAAGAGCACGGTTTTAAACCGTAAAGAAAGTTTTTGTATTTAAATTAACATTCAACAATATAACAATGTATTTAAGTTAGAGAATCAATAATGTTTACGCTATTATATTGTTGAATATTGATTTAAATACAAAAACCTTCTTTGCCGCTAAAAACCGTGTACTTGAGAATAATCACACTAACAATCGAAATGATTTACCTGTTTAAATAAAAAAAAATCTTCCTTAATGTAAACTTGTAAAAATATATATCATCAGTAAACGAAACAGTATTATATTGTATTCATGCGAACATATAATATAGTTCTTTAAACAAAGTATATAACGCAACCAAATAATAAATATAAGAAATCGTTAATTAGTAATTTTTTCTTATCTTTGTGTTTTGGGTACGGCCAATCAAAGAATGCATTAGGTCTCTACGTCACAGATTCTCTTTTCAGTTTCACCTCTGGTGGAAAATAAAATAAATCTTTAAATATATATATATATATATATTGTTTCAAACAACTCACCGTTACTATAAAATGAAATATCATTTTCAAAGATGAATTATTAGGATAGAATTGATTCAAATTTTCTTTTCAGTTTATTTTTTTGAAAAAGGTGTGTTGTAAAGAAAATGATGTTTTTTTTTCTTGATATGATTTAAACTCAGTCTAAAGAATTCACTTTGCAAAAAAATAATATATATTTGTATGTAAGTTAACAAATATATATATATATATATATAGCAAAATAGATACAAAGTGCTAATAATCAAAGAATTTACAGTACAGTTAGATAGAAAAGAAACAAATAAATAAGCTAATTGTTTGTCTTGAAGCTAAACCACAATGGGCTATCTACTGTATCTACCGTAGAGAATCGAAACCCGGAGTGTAGTGTTGTAACTTTGTAAACTTACCGCTCTCCCACCACATATAGACACGCACATATACGTAAATACGCAAACAAACGCACAAACACACGTATCGTCATATTGGAACCAGATACTATCATTTTAAATTATATTATTACACGAAATTATATTCAAGTCAACGACGTAAAGTAGCTGTTTCAGAATTGATATTATTACGTAACGTAAGGATGTTTTCAAGGGTTAACCTATATAAATTAGAACTGTTTTACAACATCATTTTCAGTACTCTCTCAGGACATGATATACTGCGATTAAAACTAACAAATTTCAGTAACATAATTTTTCTTATCTCTTTGAACGTGCCCAAATATTTATCCACTTTTTCACATTTGAAACACGTCCGTTCGTATTTGGTTTTTCATATGTTAATACACTACGACTTGCCGTACCAAGTCATGAATCAATGACGTCGTATTTTATTATTGGCCAATAAACCAAGCCGTGGCTAGAGAGGCGGAGACTGGAAATTCGGCGTATATTACATAAGTTGAATTTGTTGCGTTCTTTCAGATTTACCAATACGAATGAAGACCATGTTGAGCAACGAGTGAAAAGAGACGTGTTGTGAGATATCAGCAAATAGCAAAGATTTCTGTCAAACGTATTACAGCCTAGACCAGAATATCTTTTCTCTTCGTCTACATAAAATTTACAAGTAGCAGGAAACAAATGATGAACCAAACATCAACTCTCTTCATGGTCATCTTCATGGCAATGTTGTTCTTAGCTGCTGGAAGGCCTTATTTAAGGTAAGTAGCATATCGTCTTGCCAAGGTCCATAAATTGTGTTCTTAAATATATGTTGAAAAAATATAGATGACATCCTTCTGAGATGATAATTCAATTTAAAAAAAAAAGTACCGTTGATACAGATTTCATAACATTTGAATTTAAGATATAATATTTCATAAACAATTCGTTGAAATATACGATATTTTTAACATTAATATTTAATTGTTCGTAACGATTCAACTGGTCTACAACATGTATATGTACGGGAAACGATGTTTAAAATATGCAAATAAAGCAACATTAATTATAGCAGAAATAAAGTTCTTGTATTCATGATTTCTGGATATTTCAAAATAATTACATTCGTTTATGCTATGGAAATCTCTTATAATTTGCACGTAGTTACTGTTTATTTGTTAATATTTTATGATGATATATTGTTTGATATAAATATCTATACATATAAGAAAATACTGGAATATCAGACTATTTTATTAACTTCATTAATTTCTTCAAGCGGTTTCGTGACTTCAAAGGTTATTCTTCGGGATGTAATTTTACAGATAATATACAACAAAAACATTCAAATACCGTTTTTTCAACTAAACATAAGTAATCTAAATTAAATACATATACTTTCCAAGCATACAAACACATAACATACTCCATGTATACATCAAATACATTAAAAATACTCAAAAATAAATAAAATTAGTCAATATACTTTCCTTTTTAAACAAAATATTATAAAAATACAATTTATTTATTCTATTATTTCATGCTCCTATTTATTATTTGTCTTTTCTGTAAAGTCTTAGCGACAGTTTTCACAGTATCACAATTTTTACTGACCTTACATATATTAATTTATTTAAAATGATTCTTAAGCCTCAATGGATACAACAAAATAGTTACGGTAAAAAAAAATTAACAAATTTTGTAAAGTTTTTAATATGGTTGATTAACAAGAAAATTTTTGTAATTTAGGATGTTTCTATTATATAAAAGTTTTTGAATTCTACTATTTTTCTTTGTTTGGGAGAGCCTAATATTAACTTGAAACAAAACTCCAACTACTGCTTTAGCGTTAAATGAACAACATCTTTTGGAGTAGTTTTTATAAACTAACGTGAAATAATTAAAGTAATTGTTCGGATATTCTTCATTCTAATTTGTCAAGTTTTTCGTCACTCAATTAAACTTTACCAGATGAAAAACAATAAAATGAAATATTAATACAGCTACAAAACTTTTAATATAAAATGCAAATTTTTTTATAAAAAAAACAATATTCTCGAAGGTAATACTTGGAGTTTTCAGCTGGTTATATTTTTGATATACTTGCTACTCATAATAACAAAAATATTTTGAAGACTTTTGAAAACTACGGAAATTTAGGGGAACTGGATAATTCGAGTTGCATCTCTTGATAGTAGATTGAGGCATAAAATTCCAAGAATCTCAAGAAACTAGTCCTAATAATTATATTCGATTTTAAACACGATGTTAAACTCATCCTATTTTACTGAAACTGTAAATTTTTGATATTTCAAGATTTATTTAACTCTATCTGATTTAAATTTACCGTACTTTTTCTGTTTCGTTGTTTTGCAATATCAGTTTGTAAGCAGCATTAATCCAGTGTGATTACGCTCCAGTTTAATTCCAAATGTTCCTATACTTAGTCCAGAGAAAGACTGCATGAAAGTTTTAGTTTTCCACGTTGTTGTGACATCTCATCATTCTGTGTCTCAGAATGTCATCCATTACTCAGCGGTCTTGCTTTCTCGTTACTTTTTCATTTTTGACTGGCTTGTTCCGAAAGCTGAATACAAATTCCACGAAATTTCGTTGCATTCTTCTTGCCATATCTCACACGTTCTTATGACATAAACATTTAACATAGATTTAACATATATTAATTTAATGACGTTAATGAACAAAGGATACCGAAACTAAAGAACAATTACTCAACAATCATTATTTTGCATTCTAGTGATGGCTTTGATTTGTGGTTTAGCATTGTGAAGATCGTTATACTTGGGTAAAAAAAAAGCAAACAAAAACAGTTTAAACTTAAATCGATAATACCCTTTTGTAGGGCAGTAGGAAGCGGTAAGGCCAATCAGGCCATGGCCTGACCACTTTTTCATGACATATATAGCTAAAATTTATGTATTGAAACTTGCTTCTTTTAATTAAAAAAAATTACGTTGTGTATACGCAGTATTTATTTCAAGATTCAATTTCATAGCATTAAATTTTCAAAAATTTCCAGGGGCATGCTCTCAGACCTCCCTAGAAATGTCAATGTGGCAATTGCCTGATCACTCTCAAATTGCTTCTTACGGCAATACTTTTGTAAATAAAAGACACGCAATGAGTAATACAAGAGCAGTGTAATAAAATCGTCCATTTTCTTAATTTCAACTTACCATAGAAAAGTAGCGAATGTCAGAGATGTTCTTCGATATTTCCACCAAAATCCACCATCCTAAGCCTTACGTTCTCCCTTTTCTGACAAGAAACATACCATACAGTAATCTATTTTCGTGTCACAAATATATATGAGCAATGTTGTTAATTCAATTTTGGTTCGGGTTATTGTATACATGAATTGAAACTGACTATCTCCATTTCTGAAGTTCTTGTTCTTTGAGCTTTTTAGAAAATGCTGTGAAGACGTTTATTAGATTTTTGTTGTCATCTGCAATATTGATTCCACCATCCAAGTCTAGCGTTAAAACTAAGAGTCAGAGACGGTTGCCTAGGGCGTTAAATATTCGGGATATTCAGTGCGAGTAGGGGGGTGTCTGTTATCTAACTACATGTTTAAAATGTACCTAATACGTAAGTCAATAACTGAAACGTTATATCAAATTATAAGTGAGGGTATGAAATAAAAAACAACAACAAAGAAATTGTCTTAGAAACTGATGAAAGTGGTTTTATGTAAAAATAGGTTTACTGGAAACACATCACACAACAAAACATATTCTTTACTAGCTGGAGTACCCGTCCCCTGGACGGAAGTTATTTACATTCATGATTAATGAAAGGTTATCTTAGGACATGAAAAGTTGCTTCCCTTATAAGTAACTGTAAAAAAACGCCCATAAAAACTGCAAAACACAAAATGGAAAACCACAACTATGCATGTATCTCCCCATGGACCTAACAAATCTTCATACCAAATTTGGTGAAGATACACCAACAGGGGGCGAAGTAGTGGTAAAAAAACGCCCATAAAAACTGCAAAATGCAAAACTGACCTTTTGTGTGTACCCCCGCATGGACCTAATGAACCTCTATACCATTTTTGGTGAATATCCATCTACAGGAGGTGAGGTAGTTGTAAAAAACGCCTATTAAAATCGCAAAACTGAAAAAGCTATAATGAACCTCCATATCAATTTTGGTGAATATCCATCCACACCCTGCGAAGTAGTTACATTGAAATACAACAAACAACAGCAGGCAGTACTATTATATTTATATAGATATTTCAGATTTATTTCATTTTCATCAAATGTAACATAATGTAATATAATCTCGATGTAGAATCCTTCTATATTCTTTCATTCGCTACGCTATCTACCGTAAACTGCAATTTTGTCATTTCAAAACTCATCAGTACAGTTTGTGTCAGCAAACCACGGGAAAACAGTTAGGCCTCGTGTCTATATAATATTTATGGGTATTTTCGAGTCCTTTTTAACTAACCATAGAATAATCTAAGTTAATTTAGGTATGTGAATAATATTACAGCATGTATTATTCGGTATTATACAGCGGAATAACTGTTTAATGATTATATTATAAATTTATTTTATTTTCACCAAGCCCGGCATGGCCAGGTGGTTAGGGCACTCGAATCACAATCTGAGGGTTGTGGGTTCGAATCCCCGTCCCACCAAACATGCTCGCCCTTTCAGCCGTGTGGGCGTTATAATGTGACGGTCAATTCCACTATTCGTTGGTAAAAAAATAGCCCAAGAGTTGGTGGGTGGTGATGACTAGCTGCCTTCCCTCTAGTCTTACACAGCTAAATTAGGGACTGCTAGCACAGATAGCCCTCGTGTAGCTTTGCGCGAAATTCAAAACAAACAAACAAACTTTTCACGAAAGGTAAAATTGAAAACAGAATCTGTGACACAGAGGCCTATTTGACGTTTATTTGTTGACCGGGAATTATTATGCAGTCGAATTTTTAGCAAAGAGCAACCTAAGCTAAACTATAACGCCTTTCTTCAGTACAAAGTTGTGTCCTTGGTTTTGGGGTATTTTAGTGGAAATGTAGAAATTATTTAAATATAATCTTCTGTGGATTGCATATGGTTGAGTTCTTAAGGAGGACTAACCACGTACTCAGAAGAAAGATGGTGAACGAAATTAAGGTGTCGCGGTTTTTGGCTATTCTCCAGTTTTCGACTTTGGTCGCGCTGGATAACTGAAAAGTAGCATATACACTTAAGATAAAGTGACTATGACAAGTAGCTATTCATATCTAGCTTCTGATAACCTGTAGAGAAGAAATTCCAGTTGACTTTTGTATTACTTTATTAAGGGCATCCGTGCCATATCTACAAAGAGAATACTAGCGCACCCTCCGATAGTTAGCTATTTTCCATAGCACATAACAGTATCTTCCTGGATACGTGAAGTTTTTGATTAATTGTGTTTCTCTTTTAAGTCTGTGTTGTCTCAAATTCTAAAGGACAAAAGGTTATTTTCAGTCAAGAAAATTTTCTAATTCGGTTTCTCATGATTATGCTTCGCTTTTCGGTAACTGCAACATCAAACAAATTTCACGATAAAAGCTTCCATAAACTATATTTGTTTGTTTTAGAGCAGAGCCACATTGGGTTATCTGCTGTGTCCGCAACGGGGAATCGAACCCTTAATTTTAGCGTAAGGTTACTGCTGGTCCATCGGGGCCCCTGAACTTGAAAACGCTCTCTTTTTGAGAACAAAAGGAAAGTTAAAATATATATCTGTAAACCGGAACAAGGCTCCCACATAGTCTTAGAATTGTCAAATTACAAAGCTTGTTTTAGTTTATCAAAAGCTTTAATATTATAGTATTTTGGCACTTGTGTATAAAGTTAAAATCATAAATAATATTCAACGTTAAACTGTTACACAATTAAAAACATTTTATTAGGCCTATCTATGACCTACTAACAAGCTATAAATACTTTGGCTATTGTCGGTCATCCACACAGGATCATCTCTAAGCACCTTACAGTACTCATACCTTGAGCAAAGTTCATCCACACAGGCTCCTCTCTAAGCACCTTACATTACTCATACCAATTTTAAGAAGTTCTTTAAATTTTCAAATGCCACCCAGGATGCAAGATAATAGTTAACTGTTAATATTTCATAGACTCTACCTAACCTTATCTGCATAGCAGATTAATTCTTAGCATATGCGAGGATAGTGTTGGTCATCAGAAGACTAGGCACTCATTAACATGATTGTTCTTGTGAATTTTCTTTTCTTCAAACAACATTAAAATCTAGTGCGTAATTTGGCTAATCACAAAAAAGTTGATATCTTATACTGTGGTGTTATGAACGTGAAAAAAATAGAGAAGGGTGTATGATATATATGTGTTATGTGGAGCTAATTTCTACGATACGCAAAAAAAATTAATGTTAAAAATTACAAATTTTGTAATAAGCCTAATCTGAGCTTTCCACGTATATATGAACACTGCTCTCCGCACTTCTAGACTCGCCCTCCGCCTACATAGACTCACCAGTGTTTTCTTCATCTCAAATGACAAAAATTGCACCAAATATTTTTAGGTTGTGCCCCCCCAAAAAAAAAGAAAGAAAGAAAAAAAAAAGAATCACATCCTTCTCATGAATGAGTAAATGTTAAAATATTAATTTCTGCTAGTAGATTTATTCGTGATTTTTTCTTTCTTCTTAATTAAACGCCCCCTAGTGGCACAGCGGTATGTCTGCAGACTTACAACGCTAGAAACCTGGTTTCGATATACGTGGTGGGCAGAGCACAGATAGCCCATTGTGTAGCTTTGTGCTTAACTTCAAACCTGTGTGGATGAACTTTGCTCAAGGTATGAGTAATGTAAGGTGCTTAGAGATGATCCTGTGTGGATGAACTTTGCTCAAGGTATGAGTAATGTAAGGTGCTTAGAGATGATCCTGTGTGGATGAACATTGCTCAAGATTTAAACTGTCCTAATGTCATGTGTTTTTCGTGAAGGCTATATGATATAGGTTCTAATAACTATGTGAAAATACAGAAGTACTCACAGCC